TTTTTAATGATGCAGAGTTCAGTGTTAAAAGTTTTTGTGTTGTGTGGAAACGTGTGAAAGTTTTGTGTGTTAAGGCGGTACAAGAGGGAGGGGAGGCAGAGAGTTCAGCATCCTGAAGTCCCAATAATTGGGAGCTTGTCAAGATGTTGCAACAGATTGCAGTGAAAATGGCTGAAAAGTCTGTAAAAAAATTGTGTCAGGTTCAAAAAGGGAGTTTTCATTATACCCTGCTCAATGTGAAATTATTTAGTTCATTCTGCAGATTAAAAAAGATCATCTTCTCCAAGGAATTCAATCAAGTTCAGTAATTAGACCCTAATTCTGTCACATACGTTGCATCAGTGCCTCGTATGACATGAACGAATAATAAACTGAACCTGAGTCTGTTCATTGAATACTAACCGTGTTTAATGTTGGCCTTTAGACATAATTCAGACTCTGACACGCTTTAAGAAGCCATGAGATCTGGTGTCTGGTACTGTTTGACCCCGAGCTGTCAGATGGGCCTCACAGAGTCTGTTGTTGTTTTCTGACTGAAAACTCTCTGTCTCTTAAAGTCTCCTGTCCGAGGCTCGTTTAAAAGTCCATGTCTGCCTGCCACCGTAGTGCTGTATACTGCTAGTAAAGGTTTGGCTGCCTTCCCAGCAGTAAGAGCCTTTCCCTGACCGGCCCTCACATTTAAAGTCTTTTCTCACAGCCATCAGTGAAATGAGGCAACGCTGTGGGAGCTGTGGGGGTGCACGTCGATCGCTGTTGTCTCAGCACTGCTCTTGCGATGATTTCTTTTTTGTTTTGCATTTTGTTCAAGCTGCACAAGAAGCTAATTTCCTTAGTAAGATTATGAGTTTATGATTCAGAAAGCTGTGCAGCAGGCGTGTTGTGTAATGTTGGACAGCATCAAATGAGCAAAATGGACCATTTACACAAAACTGAACATGTGGAGCTTTTAAAAGACAGCAGCGAACAAGCTAAAGCTGCCTGAAGCCTGAATTACAGCTAACGTTGTAGCTGTAGAACATTTAGTCATAATTTGAAATGCTTATTAATCGTACTGTCCCTATAATTATCCCGTTATCTCTCTTACTTAGAGAACGTAAACAGAAGGGCGTTTAAAGAAAACGTGAAACCAGGATGGCATTACTTTGGCAGGAAAATGGTAATTATATTTATGAAATATAATTTATATTCATAAACAAATGGTGTGATGCATTCCTAATGTTTATGAGTTTTTTTGTTGCAGGATGTCGCAGACTTCGAGTGGGCGATGTGGTTCTCTACCTTCCGCAATCACATCCTCTTTGCTCTCGGTGGTCACGTGATATTTGCCAAGATATTTACCGTGGCAGCACCGAAGGTGTGCGTCTTAGAGGAAAGGAGTTGCTGTGAACGTGTGGAGGGTTGATCACTGCATGTATATATTCTACAGCTTATTGTGCACGTGCTGTATGCACGTGTGTGTTGCTCTTGTGGATAAACACAAACTTTAACTTGGGATTGGTATGACATTCAAATGACGCTATATTAATGAACCCATCAGCTCTGGCTTAAATAAATAAATAAAATCTGTTAAATGTAAAACACCTCTACTTTATATATTTGACAAAAAAACAATTGTCATAATAAGAAGGGGCTGGGGCGGCACGGTGGATCAGTTGGTAAAGCTGCCACCTCTCAGCGAGCAGGTTATTGAGTCAAATCCCAGCAGGAGGCCTTTCAACATGGAGTTTGAATGTTCTCTCCATTCATGCGTTGGTTTTCTCTGGGTACTCCAGTTTCCTCCCACAGACCAAAAACATGCATGTTAGACTGAGGTGTGAGTCAGAGAGTGAACGGTTGTTTGTCTCATTTGTCTCTATGTGTCCCTGTGATGGACTTGAGACCTGTCCAGAGTGTCCCCCACCTCTCGCACAGTGACGGCTGGACATGGGCACCAGTGACCCCCGCAAGCTGAAAAGGAAGAAGCAGGGGCTGCACCATATTAGGAAAACATCCATCCACCATCTTAAACCGCTTCTTCCTTTCCGGGTCACATCTCATGTCCAGCAGTTGCTGTGTGAGAGGCAGGTTGTGTCCAGTCCATCACAGGGACACCTGGACAGGTCTCCAGTCCATCACAGGGACACCTGGACAGGTCTCCAGTCCATCACAGGGACACCTGGACAGGTCTCTAGTCCATCACAGGGACACTTGGACAGGTCTCCAGTCCATCACAGGGACACATAGAGACAAACGAGACAACCATTCACTCTCTCCCTCACACCTAGAAACAATTTAGTTACCTCCCACACACATGTTTGGTCTGTGGCAGGAAGCTGGAGTACCTGGAGAAAACCCACGCAGCACAGAGAGAACATGCAAACTCCACCCTGAAAGGCCCCCGGCTGGGATTTGATCCAGCAACCTTTTTTCTGAGCGGCAACAGCTCTTCCAGCTGAGCCACCGTTCCTCCAAATATATGTACCATATTTGGGATGCAGCATATGTCTGCAGTTCATTGATCGTTCTGTCATCCTGATATTGTTTACATGGATATAGCAATATAAACACGTGTTGATTATTGTGCAAGCCTAACGGTAGCTTTGTAATCATAGCAAGGTCTAACACATGGCTGACGATGCATGAGCTGCAGTTTGTTAAGCAGATAGTTTTGTTTTGAAGTTTGGTACAGCTGGGTGTAACTTTAAAATGCTTGTAAAACTTCTAACGTTGTTGTTCCTGTTGCTGCATTAAATGAAGAGCACGTCTCTGCAGACCATCGCTCTAACACTGGCCTCTTCTTACCAACAGCACAGATCCCTGATCTTTGCACTGTACGGGGGTTTGGCAGTTCTGGTCACGATGGGCTGGACCTTCATAGCTCTGGTTCTGTCTCACTGCATCATCCTCTACAGCGTCGCTCTGGTCAAGAAGAAGTGGATGTGCTTTGCTGCCGGCCTGAGCACGCTGGCCTCCATCAAGCTGGAGCCCTATAACTCCTGGCAGGTGAGGAGCTTCCTTCACACCCTTCATTTGTTCGCTCTGTGAAGACGGAGAAACGCACCACTGCACATAAAAATAAATGTAAGTGTGTGTTCTGTGATGTGATGACTGACCCCTCTGTAGGAGAACTTGGTGACGGGTTCTTTCGACCTTCAAGACATCCTGTTCTACGGAGGCTGCGGCTTCAGCATCATGCGCTGCATGAGTTTCGCTTTGGAGAACTGCGACAGGAAGGACGGCAACTACAATTTCTCTGACCTCCTGAAATACAACTTCTACCTCCCGTTCTTCTTCTTTGGACCTATTATGACTTTTGATCGCTATCACGTGCAGGTGAGGTTCAAACTCAAGCAGTGTTTTTAAATAAAGTTCTGATGATGAGAAGTTGCAGCTAAGTAATCTTTGTCCTCTGGTAGATGTCATTATAGACACTCTGGGTCCTGAATGTGAATGTTACAGTCTGATTCAAAAACTGTGAGAATAATGGAGACAACACGAGGTGGCAAGTTCATGATCAGTTCAGATGATTATCATGTCTTCTCCTAGAAACAGTTTTGTTAAAATGTAACTTTGTACTCAAATTTCAGGCGGAATGTTTTGAACCCAATCTTGCAACAACCCTCACTAGTCTCCCCATCAGTTTCATCCTGCACTTCTCTCAGCGCATGTGGAGGCAATTTAAAGACAAAAAGAGAAAAGAGTAGTGAGCAGAGAAACATGCAGAAGAAAATATAACTTCAAGAGCAAAGTGTTCTGGAATAAACACCATTTTAGTTGCCTTCATTGTGATGAATATTTACAGTGCTGCTTGAAAGTTTGTTTAGTCTTTATAATTTTCTATATTTCTGCATAAATATGATCTAAAACATCATCAGATTTTCACACAAGTCCTAAAAGTAGATCAAGAGAACCCAGTTAAACAAATGAGATAAAATATTATACTTGGTCATTTATTTATTGAGGAAAATGATCCAATATTACATATCTGTGATGGTAAAAGTATGTGAACCTCTAGGATTATCAGTTAATTTGAAGGTGAAATTAGAGTCAGGTGTTTTCAATCAGTGAATGATGATCAGGTGTGAGTGGACACCCTGTTTGATTTAAAGAACAGGATCTATCAAAGTCTGATCTTCACAACATGTTTGTAGAAGTGGATCATGGAGGAACAACAGAGATTTCTGAGGAGCTCAGAAAAAGAGTTGTTGATGCTCATCAGGCTGGAAAATGGTACAGAACATCTGTAAAGAGTTTGGACTCCACCAATCCACAGACAGACTGTGGACAAATGGAGGAAGTTCAAGACCACTGTTACCCTCCCCAGGAGTGGTGGACCAACAAAGATCACTCCATGAGCAAGATGTGGAATAGTTGGTGAGGTCACAAAGGACCCCAGGGTAACTTCTAACAACTAAAGGTCTCTCTCACATTAATGTTCCTGTTCATGAGTCCACCATCAGGAGAACTCTGAACAACAATGGTGTTCATGGCAGGATTGAAGGAGGAAGTCACTGCTCTCCATCAAGAACATGGCTGCTCGTCTGCAGTTTGATAAAGATCACGTGGACAAGCCAGAAGACTGTTGGAAGAATGTTTTGTGGACGGATGAGACCAAAACAGAACTTTTTGGTTTAAATGAAAAGTGTTATGTTTGGAGAAAGTAAAACAGTATCTGTGAAACATGGTGGTGGTAGTATCATGGTTTTGGGCCTGTTTTGCTGTATCTGGGCCAGGACGGCTTGTCATCGTTGATAGAATAATTAATTCTGAATTATATCTGCGAACACAGAATGGTTTTAGTGACAAGAACCTACCTGCCCACACACCAACACAGTATGGCTTTCAACAAGCTGTCAGTGGACACGACTATGGCAACCCACAAGGCCCATGAAACCCATGAGCTCCTTATCAATTGTGGTCACTGAGGAGTTCTCAAGAGTCAAAACCTCAAGTTGCACCAGCTGCAAATATTTTTACAAGGACTCCAGACTGCACGGTGCTTCTTACATTTTAACCCAGTTTGTAACAAAGAGTCATCAGGTGGGACCTCTCTATTGCTCCTTGGCTCTCTTCGGGATGTGCAGAAGCCATATTGTGTTTTATCCTGAGTTGTTTTAAAACTGGTGGGAACTCGGGGGTTGAAACGTTAGAGCCCTGGTGAGTCTGAATGAAATGAACTGTGCCAGATGTAGCAGTGAGGGTGCACAGAGGGCATGCAGCTGCTGGTTTGACACATTACAGTCTGTGGAGGAGGTGAAAGGAGCTATTTATGTCATGGAGAGTCCAGCTACCAGAGCTTATGACTGTAGGTGTGGGTAGAACATAGGCCGCCCATGAACAGAGAGTTTCTCCTTACAGCTCAGCTCCCCCTTCACCACAACAGACCGACACAGAGTCCACAATACAGCTGAAGCTGCTCCGATCCATCTGTTGATCTTCCACTCCATTCTTCCCTCACAGTGAACAAAACCCTGAAATACTTGAACTCGTCCACTTGAGGCAGAATCTCATTTCCAACGCTTCCATAAATCACCACCTTCTTGTGGTGGAGGAGTTTGTGTGTCTGAATGATCCCAGGAACGTTGCTGTTGGGGGCGTTGGCCCCTTATAGGGTCTTACAAGACAGATCAGTCCAAGGTGACAGGCCAGACCAAGAGTGATTCAGAACACTCATATGGATAGAAAACAGATAAAAGCTCAGCATCCCTTGCCCAGATGTGGGTTGCCGGGTCCTCACCCTGGAGCCAGGCCTGGAGGAGGGGCTCAACGGTGAGCGCCTGGTGACTGAGCCTCTACCCATGGGGCCTGGTCGTGCTCAGTCAAAATGAGCTACATGGGTTCACCTTTCTGTGGGTCCACCACCTGCAGGAGGGGACATGCAGGTGGGGTGACGCCAGGGGTCTTGGCACTCTGACTCCAAAGCTGGCTCTTGGGACATGGATTGTCTCAGATTTGAGCTTTCTAAAACCTACAACGGAGCTTTAACTTTGAGACTTCCTGTCCATTTTGTTCTAATTCCCACCTTCAAGCATGTGACCAGAGCCTGTTTCTTTGAGCCGAATAAAGACCCTGACGGCTCTCAGGTAGGAGGGGAGTGAGATGTCTGTAAGTAAAATTACTTTAAAACTGAAGCTTCAGGTTATTTTGACTGAAGGTCAGAATGAGGGCTGAGGACCGTGTCGGCCCAAGCCTCCGGGGCCCTAAACAAAATTTGGTTTGGGGCCCTCTATTTCTGCTAATACTGTGGATTACTGCAATCAAAAGTCAGATAATCAAATCATTCACCCTCCTAACATAAACTTGTTGCAACTCTGACAGCCCTGTTTACGTTATCCTATATGTATTTACTGTACCCTGTATATCATCTAGTAGTACTAAAAGTAACAAAAGAAAAGAAAAAAAAAGACCAGTATGCAATGTATTTTAAGTGTCATCTGGTTTATCATCTTTGGTTCCAAACAACTGCAACAGTAATGTTCAAAATAATTTCTAGTGCAAGATCAACAAACAGATAATAACTTAGATAAATAAACATTAATTAAATTGTGCGAAAACAGACAAAATAAAATAAAATAAAATATATCAAGGAAATACTTGATTAATGTAAATGAACAATTACTTGAAACCACATACAAAAAAAAAATTAAAGTTGAATAATTAGTTTCTAAAACTATGTAAATGTATGCAATTTGCAAAAGCTGAACTTAAAATATTAAACAACCTTTACCCACACTTCCTCAATACTTCACAAACTTCCTAAAACCTGTGCTTCATCTTAGGCGCCCCCTAGTGGCCCCGGGGCCCTAAGCAGCCGCTTAGTTTGCTTATGCCTTGGGCCAGCCCTGGAATAAATTTACTTCATCTACTTCATATTTCCTTATTCTTTCTCATGCAAGACGGACGCCTTTCTTCTTTCTCCCGTCCTCCTCCTGCTTTTTTGGTCTCTGTCTTGTTTATTGGAGCTCCTATTTACACATCTTCCGTAACGTAAACTACTGTCATGGATCTGGTCAGCTGGACTTTCAACACAATTGAAAAAAATGTTTTCAACAAAGCGACAGGGTCCTGGAGAACCGTCATGCCCCACTGAGACGCACACATCATGGATCTATTGCATGCTATTGGCTATTAAAGAAGACGGCGGCAGCAGTTTCAGCCATGGCAAAACTGCCGACCTTGTGTGAAGGTTTGTTTTGTGCTTCAAGGACTCAAAATCAGCTGATTTACGAGCTAAACCGTAAGATGGAAGCAATTTGTGAGAATCGCAGGCCACTTGAGATGGAAGCAATTTGTGAGAATCGCAGGCCACTTGTGGCGTTGGGACTTGCCAGCGTGTTGGGGACAACCTTGGAAGGACTAATAAGCACAGACCAGTGGAATGCCCACACATCTGGCCATTTTGTATTAAAAGTACCAGCAGAACTCCAGGCTGATGAGAAATAACCGTCTGCCTGAAAAAAAAAAAATCAACAACTGTGGCTTGTCTGAATCTGGCTCCCCCGGTTGGCCTCGAAGCAGGCCGACTTATGAATTTCTCCTGGACTATGTAAACTAAGGAAAAGCTATATCTATCCCCCCCCCCCCCCCCCCCACACACACACACACACACACACACACACATTTATCAGAACTGCACTGACTGACACCAACATTTTAACAGGACTATAGACCATCTGGACGTGCTTCATGGACAAATCTCACCGTCTTGTCATCAGATGCATATGTAATGTTTATAAATGTACTTGCTAGTAGTTTTTTGATGATTTAAATCATGTCCTGATAGGACAAGATGTGAAAAGATCTTTTTTGTAATACCGCTGTCCTCTCCTCATGGCCTTTTCCCCTTTTCTTTCTAAAAGAATATAATAGAATGAAGGTTGCTAAGGTAGTTCCTCTTTTTAAAAATGGTGACAAATGTACATTTAGTAATTATAGGCCTATATCTCTATTACCACAATTCTCTAAAATTCTTGAAAAATTGTTTATGACTAGATTAGATAAATTTCTTGAGAAAAATAATATTTTAAGTAATAATCAATATGGTTTTAGGTCAAACTGTTCAACATCTTTGGCTCTCATGGAGTTGATAGAACAAATTACTACAGCGGTTGATCAAAAACAACATTGCATAAGTATATTTGTGGACTTAAAAAAAGCATTTGACACAATCGATCACACCATTCTGCTTGATAAATTGAATCATTATGGTATTAGAGGTCCTGCTTTGCAGTGGATAAGCAGTTATTTGAGAGATAGAAGACAGTTTGTTCAAATAGATGAAGTAAAATCTAATTTGTGCAGAACTCCATGTGGTGTACCACAAGGTTCAATACTTGGACCTAAATTGTTTATATTATATGTAAATGACTTAATTGAAGTATCTGATATCTTCAAATGTGTTTTGTTTGCTGATGACACTACTTTTTTCTGTCTGGGTAAAGATATGGAACAATTAATTGAGTTGATAAACAAGGAATTTGTAAAAATACAGGATTGGTTTAAATCAAATAAGTTATCATTGAATATTGATAAAACTAATTTTATGGTATTTAGTAAAAAAAAGATAACTTTGGATTTTTGTTTCAAAATTGATGGTATTAAAATATGTAGAGTAAATGAAGTAAAGTTTCTGGGCGTAATCATTGATGATAAACTATCATGGAAACAACATATAAATTTTGTAAAAACTAAAATATCAAAGTCCAGTGCAGTATTATATAGAGTAAGGGACTTGTTAAATAATGAAGCTTTACATTTACTTTATAATACAATTGTAGTCCCACATTTTACTTATTGTGCCAATGTTTGGGGTACAGCATGTAAATCCACAACAAGGCCTATATTTATTCTGCAAAAAAGAGCAGTAAGAATTATAACAAGAAAGAGTTATTGTCATCCTTCTAATGTTCTGTTTAGTCAATTGAAATTACTTAAGTTTTATGATTTGGTGGATTATAATATTCTTTTACTTATGTTTAAGGCCCATAATTGTTTGCTGCCATCAAACATTCAAACATATTTTGTAAAAAGGACGAGTGGTTATAATTTAAAGGGATCAGAGATCTTTGTAAAACCTAAGTACAGAACCAGTTTGAAGGGACGCTCTACGACCATACATGGAATAGGTTTATGGAATAATTTGGAGGATGATGCAAAAATGGAGAAGTCAATGTTTACATTTAAGAAAAAGATAAAAACTATTTTGTTGGAAAAATATAAACAACTGTTTGTCTAATTATTTTAAATGTAAAATCTGTTTGAGTTATCTACGTTGTTGCAATATTGTGATTGACTTTTTGTTTGAATTGATAGTTAAATTGATCTGTTAAAGAAGGAGCAGATTTGATAAGAATTTTTTTCTTCTTCTGCTTCCTTTCATTTTATGTTTATTTTTTTAATTATCTAAATTGTATTTTGTGTGTTTTTTTTAATGGAACTGAAATGAATGAAATAAATAAATAAATTTAAAAAAAAAAAAAAAAGAATAAAAGGCCGTGCTCTTAGTAACAGCAGCAACGTGCACTCTGTCCATCTTTTGGACGACTGTACGAACATATTCTCACCGTATTTTGGTACAGTGATAATAATGTTTATTCTGATTCTGATGTTCTCCTTCAACTGAAACAGACAGAGCTTTAGTGTCAGGTCGTCACTTTGTAAAACTTTTAAAAGAAACTGTAAACTGAAATTGTACAAAAAATATTAACAATTTTCCACACAAACTTTTTTTTTTTTGTAGTTAAACATTTAATTTATTTCATGCAGGAGCTGGGTCAGTGTAAATGTTTTGAATTGATCCAACGTCTTGGATTTCCATTTAATTCATTTTAAATTACTTATTGATTGAAACAAAATATATTTTGCTAGATATAACTCTTCATTCTTGCCATTTTGAAAATGTTAAAAAAAATTTTTTTTTAACAAGTCAGGCACAAATAACACAAATTACCACCTCATACGAGATTTATTTTTGTTTGCTGCAGTGTCTCTAAATTCAAACAAATCTGATCATTTCTAAACATGTTTACCAGAAAAAATTCATCCAAATAAATCTGACTCAGCTCCAGTAAAACATTTTAAGTGACAACAATATATTTACTGTATATGGAACAAAAGCTGTAATTTTATGTGGAAATTTTAACATTTTAAAGTCTCTTTATTTGAAGAGTTATTTTGAGAACTTTGTTATAATAGATGTCACATTATACTCTACAGGCAAACAACACTCAGTTAACGCGAAAGGAAAGGGAGATGTGGAACATCACCACCAAGGCCTTGTTGCACCTGGGAGTGATTCTGGTGGTGGACGTCTTCTTCCACTACCTGTACATCCTCACCATCCCCAGTGACATGAAGCTGGTCACCAAGCTCTCTGACTGGTGTCTGGGTGAGACAATGACTAATAATTAGTGTATGTTTCTGCTTTAGCATGTGTCTTCTATTAAAAATCACATTTTGGTGTCTTTTATGTCAATGTCAATTTATAAATATAGCACATAAAACAACAAAAGCTGACCAAAGTGCTTTACAAGTAAGTCAAAGTAAAATGAAAACAAACAAAAGAACAAGAAAATGCATCCTGTGCCATTCAGCAAACACAAGAAAGTTAACAATAAAATACACAACTACAAGAAACATCAGCTTCTGGTTCTCAGACTCTGCATGGATCAAACACCAGGGAAAAAGATGTCTTGAGCAAAGGTTCAAAAGTCTCATCAGTTTTTAAATAATCAGGTAAACTGTTCCACAGTTTTGATGACTGGCGATTCCTTGAAGCGGAGCTAGTCTATGTGATCCTCGGATATACGGAGTATACACACTAAAGCTTGGGAATTTCAGTATACCCACTTAAAAGTGTCCAATGACGCGAGCCCTGCATGTCACGTATCATTGGCAATGATACGTGACATGCAGGGCTCGCGTCATTGTCAACACATCTAGAACATTTTATAGACACATTGAGTTGGTTCAACCTGTTTTTTGTATAACTGATACTTCTGTACTTGCAACTTGAACATGTTTTGTTTTGATACTGTTTTATAAATTTTCTAACATATTTTACAAAGGTTGTTGTACTATAAGCATCAGAGAAATCTTGAAATGTTCAGTATGCTTAAAAAATCAAAATAAATTACCGATTACATTGTACTAACTGGTGTACTTTGGTTTCTAAGCACAGTATACCCACTACAAAAATGTAGACTACTCCATTGAGTTGGGGGTTCGATTCCACCAGCAGTCACATGACGACGTGTCTCTGGGCAAGACAGTGAACCCCTCATTGCCTCTGATGTGTGTCCCCTCAGTGTATGAATGTGATAAAGCTCTGATTATGCTTTGTATAGATCTAGTATAGAGCTGTATGAATGGGTGAATGAGGACACAGACTGTGTTGTAAAGAGCTTGGCGTATCCTGATCAGATAGAAAGGTGCTGTATAAGTACAGTCTATTTACCATTTATTATTTTCCACAAAAACTGAAAAATAATGGAATTGGCTTTCCTCATGTTCTGTGGTGATATATACAGTGGAGAGAAGCCATGACAGGTGTTTTGTGTTCTTGTTTTCTAGTTGTTGTTAAAAGACGAGCTGCTGCTTTAAAATACTGTATTAACATAGTTTTAAGAATAAAAATGCAGTGGAATAAAATCCTACAACTTTTAAGCAAACAACAGGAAAAGGGGCACACTTTTAATTACTACTCGGGATATTTTTAGAGGAAGAAACTGGAAGAAAAACAAAAAGTGAAGCTTATCAAAGTTGGTCAGTAGACTGTACTCTACATGTCGTCTGTCTAAAACAGGTCTCGCTTGAAAATGAGTCCTCGTGGCTCAGTGAGACTAAATGTATAAAAAAGGTTAAATAAAATAAAAATAAATTAATGCAGTTGGAAACTGCTCTGATAATAAAACTCCAGTGTTCATCAGTGCACCCTCAGGTTGGTTATCTGCAGCTCGAGTAGAAATACAATCATCTCCTGTTTTTATTCCTCATGTTTGCAGCTGGCCTGGCGTACTCCAACCTCGTGTATGATTGGATAAAAGCAGCTGTCATGTTCGGTGTGATTAACACCGTGTCCACACTGGACCATTTGGACCCCCCTCAGCCTCCCAAATGTATCACCATGCTCTACGTCTTCGCCGAGACGTACGTTTGATTGACTCTAGCTGTGTTCAGCGTCGATAAATCACTTTGCACCGTTGAGCTTTGAAAACAGAAGAACGTTCAATTAAAAGATGTTCTGTTTTGCAGACACTTTGACCGAGGCATCAACGACTGGCTGTGCAAGTGAGTGTTTACACTGAAATGACCAACCCTCCTGGGATTCATGAGGGGACAGCGTTGCAGGTTATTTCAAGTCTATGTTGAACTTTTGCAGGTATGTTTATGACTACATTGGTGGGGATCACGATAAGATCTTTAAAGAGCTCCTTGCAACCATCTGCACTTTTGCCATCACCACCTTGTGGCTGGGCCCGTGCGAGCTCGTTTACATCTGGTCGTTTTTCAACTGCTTCGGCCTCAACTTTGAGCTGTGGGTGGCAAAGTTCTTCTCCCTTCCACCGTTTTCCATCGTGGAGGTGAGAAGTTGTATACATGCCACAAGAGTCTCCTTTAAAAAGCACATTAGTTAATGCAATTCAAATGCAGGAAGTCTTTGTCCCCTGTTGCGGAGTGAGGAGGGGGACTGGAAATATCCTCCAATCGTCCATCAGTCCGTGTATGTTGTGAGCATGAAAACTTGAAAAATAAGCAGCGTGCAAACTTCTATTTTAGTATGTGGCATAACAAAGTCACTATCAAGAATTGGGTTGCCAGGTCAAAATCCAAGATGGCCACCATATATGTAAACTGGCCAGCCCAATTATTTGTAGAAACAAAACTTTCTAGTTTTTAAATTGCTTAAAAGTATAGTTTTGTCAAAAGATTGGGATACAAATAAACAATGTGCTAACCTTCACTTTTGGGCGTCTGTGGCTTAGTGGTTAGAGCAGTCGTCCTCCAATGAGAGAGCTGGGGGTTTGACTTCACCATTAGTCACATGAAGTGTCTCTGAGCAAGACACTGAACCCCTCATTGCCTCCGATGTGTTGCAACAGTGTATGAATGTGATAAAGCTCTGATTATTCTCTACAGATTCAGATTATATTTGTTGAGATATAGTAGAGTGCTGTGTGAATGTGTGTGTGTATTAGAGTGCTGTATGAATGTGTGTAGTAGAGTGCTGTATGAATGTGTTTAGTAGAGTGTTGTATGAATGTGTGTGTAGTAGAGTGTTGTATGAATGTGTGTTGTATGCATGTGTGTAGTAGAGTGCTGTATGAATGTGTGTGTAGTAGAGTGCTGTATGAATGTGTGTAGTTGAGTGTTGTATGAATGTGGTTAGTAGAGTATTGTATGAATGTGTTTAGTAGAGTGCTGTATGAATGTGTGTAGTAGAGTGTTGTATGAATGTGTTTAGTAGAGTGTTGTATGAATGTGTGTGTAGTAGAGTGTTGTATGAATGTGTGTTGTATGCATGTGTGTAGTAGAGTGCTGTATGAATGTGTGTAGTAGAGTGTTGTA